TCCCAGATGGATACGCGAAACTTGGCACAACCTGATTGCCCCTCTGGGCTGTCACAGATGGACCCGGCATCGCCTGCCCACCTGTCCTGGTCAGGGCCTCAGTCTCTGGGACTCACAGGTAGTCGGAGCCGTACACACATACGGCCCCTGGGGTTGGTGATCAAGGAGGGGTGGTGTGTACCTTTGTTTCCTTGACATCCCATGGGAGGTGGGAGGGGCAGCCGTCCTCACTCAAGCCCCTGCCGGCCCTGCGCTCCCTGCAGGCGCTCTCACTCTTCCAGCCGGATTAGCTGCGAGCCCTAAGGAGGCCCTTATCCGAGTCTTGCCCCAGCCTACAGCCCCTCCCCAGCCTACAGCCCCTCCCCTGCGTAGGAAGCCATTAATAAGGTGAGCAGGCGAAGGCGCACACGAGATTTTTTTTTTTTTTTTGGTACCAGGAATCAGAACTCAGGACCTTTCTCTTGCCACCCAGGCGCTGCGCCGCTGAGCTGCGTGCCTGGCCCGGGTCGGAAGTGACCCGCGTCCGAGGGCGGCGTGGAGTCGGTCAGAAAGGGCCTCACCGCGGCTGCGCAGCTGTTTTGTCTGAAATACTCACGCGCTGCGTGTTCTGTTCCTCTTTCCTGCTCAGAGCCTGTGAAAACTACTCTAAGTGACCAGCGCAAGCAAATGCTCCAGAAATACAAAGAGGAAAAGCAGCTTCAAAAGCTGAAAGAGCAGAGGGAGAAAGCGAAGCGAGGCGTGTTCAAAGTGGGCCACTTCACGCCCGACGCCCCCTCCTTCCTCTCATCGGTGCCCAGAACCAGGAACGCCGAGACGAGAATGGTAAATGTATGGCTTTAATTGGTGCAGAGGAATAAGTTCTTCTCGCCTGGAATTTTCATTCAGAGATTAAATGATGGAACGAAGCCCTTCCCCTTAGTCCCTTTTTTTATTCATATAACTATTTGGTAGGAAGTGAGAATGACATAATAGTAGCTCAGGGCTGGACGTGGTGGCGCACGCCTATAATCCCAGCACCCCGGAGGCTGAGGCAGGAGGATCGGTGCTAGTTGGAGACCAACCTGGGCTACAGAGTGAGCTCAAGGCCAGCCTGAACTGCATAGTGAGACCCTGTCTCAAAGAAAAAACTCACCTTCTAGGAACCATCCTGGGTATCAGACAACAGGAAGGCACATCTGGGAAGCAGGAGGGACATGGTGCTGGGCAGGACCTGGGTGGGCGGCTGGGGCTGTGGCAGGGGCAGCAGCTGTAGGACAGTTGAAGCCAGGGCAGCAGGGTGTTCCCCGCTGTGAGCAGGAGGAGTCCGCAGGCATCAGTGCCAGGAGGAGGACGTACGGGACAGATCTCATTTTAAAGAGGTGTTTAAGAGATGTCATTGCACACAGTCCTGGTTGAAGTAAGAATTTTTCTTTTTCTTCTTTGTCTTTTTGAGACAGGGTCTCACTATGTAGTTCAGGCTGGCCTCGAGCTCACTTTGTAGCCCAGGCTGGCCTCCCGAGTGCTGGGATTACAGGCGTGGTGGTGCAGGCCTGTGACCCCAGCACTCTGGAGGCTGAGGCAGGAAGGTCACCATGAGGTCAAGGCCAGTTCGGACTGTATAGGGAAACCCTCATCTCAAAAAAAAACAAAAACAAAAACGAATTAATAATGTAAAGGTCTAAGAAATCGCCTGCTTTTGTGGGCCTCGTGAATGTCATTACTTTACTTAGCAGATCTTTGAGTATTTATTCTGAGTACAGTTTGACATCAGGATAGTGTGAAGAGACCAAAACTGACAGGTATAGTTCATAGTTGAAAGCTGTAGCTAAATGCAGTCTGTGAATGTTAGGGAGGGAGAGATTATTTCTGTTTGGAAGAAAAACAGACCTTGGAAGAGGTTGACTTACTGGGGTCTGCTCATCTACAACTTAACAAAATGGCTAATTTTTTTTTTTTTTTTTTTTTTTGGCTTTTTGAGACAGGGTCTCACTATGTGGTTCAGGCTGGCCTTGAACTCACTGTATTCCTCCTGCCTCAGCCTCCGTAGTGCTGGGATTATAGGCGTGCACCACTGCACCTGGCAAAATAGCCAATCTCAGTCATTAGGATTCTAATACCTGGGAAATACGCTTTCAGGTGCCTTCTTTTCCTAAAAAACCTGAGTAAGTTTTGAAGATTTTTTTGTTCTGTTTTGTTTTGGTGGTTTTTGTTTTGTTTTTTGTTTTTTGGTACCAGGAATCGAACTCAGCACCTTTCGCTTGCCAGGCAGGCGCTTATGCAGCTGAGCTATATCCCTGGCAGTTTTGAAGATGTTAACTGAAACATAATTTAAATCCAGCCAGAGTCAGAAAATGTAGGTGTGCAAGGATAAAATTCAAACTGGGGATTTCATTTATAATGAGACGTGGAAATGAACCGCACCAGTTGTTTCTGTTGTGTTGTTTTGTTTTGACTCGGTCTTTCGGCTGCTGAAGGCTGCTTCATCTTCTGAACGAATCACGAGATCCAAGGCCAGGGACCAAGTGAAACCAACGAAGGTAAAGCTGGAAACCTGTGTTACTAAAACGGCAAATTATGCTTCTGTTTCCTTAGTGGAAGTAAACTTCTTTTTAATCAAGTATCAGATTCAAACGCAGTGACCAGTTCCCTTGAGTTAGCAGGTAGTAAAGTGATTATTCGGGGTGCAGTGGTTTGGGGCAGTTTTAGGGGATCCGCTACGGAAGTTTCCAGCCGAAGCATCCTCGCCCCCATGTCCCTCATGACGTCCATCAGCTGCGGCTTTTGTCCCCCTGTGTGCCATTTGCGGAGCTTCTCTGGGGGCTGCAGGCTGCCTGCCGGAAATGCAGGCGGGAGTGAAAAGCGAGGTGGTGGGGTGTTAGAGGCTTTGGGGTCTTTTGTCCCGCCTCGGGTGGGACTCCAGGAGGTCTCTAAAATAAGTACAGGAGAAGCAGGGAAGTTGCGTCACTCTTAGCAGGTCAGGACGACAGGTCTCATGCAGTCAGTAGACCTCGAGTGACTCCCGTGTTCCTGGCATTCTCTAGGCCCTGGATTACAGTAAGGAAAAACAAACTATACAAAGAAAGAAAACAAACGCCAAAATTCCCCGGCTTGGTGGCGCTTCATGTAAGCCTGGCAATAAAATAGCAAACGCGTAGGAGTCAGACACTTCCCATGTTCTGGGAGAGCCTTGCTCAGTCGGTGGCACTGGATTGCGGCCGTGAAGGGCCTGAGCGACCCGAGGGGGAGTTTCTGTGTGGGAGAGGGGTCTTCTCCGCGCCCCTCAGAGGTCCGAAGCGCAGCAGGCCGGGCGTGCGGAAGGGGGTGGCCGCTGCTCTCACCAGCTTAGCTCACTGCCTTTTGTCAGTTCTAGGTGTCTATGGAAGGCGGTCGGGAGATTTGATAACGGAAAACCTTTCCTTCATTCTCTTTGAGTCGGTGCGCTTTTTGTCGGAGTGTTTGTAATTACCAGCGTACGGGTGCGGGGTCATTTTCCAGGTTAGAAATCGGGCAGTTTGATTCATGAGCGATTACGTCACATAGCTCCCGTCTTCACCTCTGAGCAGATCCCTGTCCCGAGTAACGTCCGGGCCGCCGGACCTGGAGGAAGACAGGCTGCCTGCAGGAGAGCGCTGGACAAAGAGAATAAAGGTGGGCATGCTCGGAGTTGTCGCGCGGGTCGCGATGCTGCCCGGCCGTGCTCACTAATGACGAACATTCGCCGCTGCTTCCCACAGCTGTGCCCCCGGCGGCGCCCCCGCCCGCCAGGATGACGAGATCGGCCGCCTTGGCCGCCAAGCAGGTCCCCAGGCCCGTCCCTGTGGCCACAGTCAGGAGGACGGTCACAAGGGCTGCTCAGGGTGAGGACTTTGTTTTGGGTACTGGGGATTGAACTCGGCGTTTGCATCATGTTACACCTTTGCCCTTTTCTATTTGGAGACAGGGTCTCCATAAGTCTGTAAATTCCCCGGGCTGGGCTTGAATTTAACATCCTCCTGCCTCAGCCTCCCAGAACGCGGGGGTCAGGGCGTGCACCACCAGGCCCAGCGAAGAACTGTTTATCGAACATGGCTAAACAGGAATACTTCCGTCCTTCAGGTTTCTGTGTTTGATTTTTAAGATCAGCCTGTGCTTCTCTGAGAAAGAAGAAAATGGGAGTGTCTCATCCTGAACTCTGTTCTGTGCCCTGAGAGCCCCTACACGGTGGGGGCCGGGATGCTGACGCCCCGCATCAGCAGAAGCAGTGCTTCAAAGTGAGAAAGGAACAGCCCCCAAATCGTAGTCCATCTGTGGAGAAATTCTAGCTGGGCAGGGTGTGGTGGCACACACCCGTAATCCCAGCACTTAGGAGGCTGAGGCAGGAGGATTGCTGTGAGTTGGGGCCAGCCTGGGCTACATAGCAAGACTCTGCCTCAAAAAAAAAAAAAAAAAAAGACATTGAAAATGTAGTCCATCCATCTGGTGAAATATAATGTAGCCACTAACAGTGTTGCCAAAGAACTCTTAAAGACATGGGTAAAGACTTGTAAAAACATACAGCAAAGAGAAACAGGTTGCACTGAGCAGTAGGATTGCAGCTCTGCCAAACCGTACGTGACATTGTGGGCAAGGAAAAAAGGTGGAAAAGCGCATCCTGGAATGCCGACTCAGTGAGGGGACTGAGGGTGTGTGTGTGTGTGTGTGTGTGTGTATATGTGTATGTATGTATGTATGTGTGTGACTGGGCAAATGCTCTACCACTGAGCCTCCCCCAACCCTTTTAGATGTTTTAAATTTTGAACAGGGTATCACTAAGTTGCCCAGGCAGACCTTGAATTTGCAATCCTACTGCCTCAGCCTCCTGAGTCGCTGGGGTTATAGGCTTTCCACATTTTCCTAACTAATACATATATATTTGGTATTCAGAGGAAAAAGAAAAAGTAGGACACTCTTGTTTTATTTTGAAAACAAGTGTCCTGTACTTGTCAGGAAATTTTACTCCTTTTTGTCATAAAAGTTTCAATCGAAAAGTCCTTCAAGACATATATTCCTATCATCGCTTTTCTTTTTCCAAATTACCTAGGACTTTTCATTCTGTATCTAGTGAAAACAGATAAGCTTATTTCATTTTTATTTCAGATAATGAAGCAGAAAGAAAGGCACCAAATAAAGGAAGACCTGCCACAAAGATCGAAACGAAAGCTGACAAGGTAGCATGCAGGCGTGGGCTTCTGTCTGGATGCTTTGCAAATCTCACTGCTGCTCTCATAAAGTTGGACTTGAGGGGGACCTGCCCGAGTGGCCAAGCCTCTCAAACCGGAGGGGAGCAGGGAGAGGATTTCCTGCTGCTGTTTTTCCACATTTCTTAGTGTTATAGGTAGAGAAAGCATAATTTGATTAACAGAAAGAGGATGGAGAAGAAGAATAGAGGCTGAGAGGAGCCATTCTGTGAAAATTACTTAGGAGATAGGATGGAATACTGTGAACGGCATGGACCTGGGTCCCCGCAGTCTTGTGTTTGAGTACTGTCGCTGCTTAGGATTAGCTGTAAAACTCTGAGCAGCTTGTGTCATTGAGCTTGTCTTCTGTCTCTTGTAGACAATTCCTGCAAAGAGTTGTAAGAATTAAATAAGCCAGCCAGGCGTGGTGGTGCACGACAGTGATCACTGGGAAAGCTGAGGCAGGAGAATCGCTGTGAGTTCAAGACCAGCCTGGGCTACAAAGTGAGCTCAAGGCCAGCCTGAACTGCATAGCGAGACCCTCTCTCAGAGACAAAAAAAGAAACAAGTTAAGGTGTCTGAGTGCATCCAGCAGTGTCTGGTAAAGCCCTAAGCAGAGAGCACTGTTCTCAGGGCCCAGTCTCTTGGTTTATATGTCTAGCTTCTTAGTAAGAGTCAGAGGTCAATCACGCCTTGAGGACCGTACAGATCCCCTGGACCTCATAGCTCTTCTCTGAGACTCAGCTCCCCCTAAAGATCACCCTAGTTTTACTGGCTTTACGAATCATGTTACCGCCGCCGAACCTCCTGTCCAGGTTGAAATACCTTAGTTTGAAAACAGATCTTGTTAAAAGTCAGAAGCCTGCCGGGCATAGTGGCCCACACCTGTAATCCTAGCCCTCAGGAGGCTGAGGCAGGAGGATTGCTATGAGTGTGAGGCCAGCCTGAACTACATAGTGAAACCCTATCTCAAAAAGACCCCAAAAAAAGTCAGAAACCTAAAAAAAAATTTAAAATCTAGCCACTTAGATACCTCTGAATCTTATGTTTAAATACCAAGTACTGTATTTGGTTTTGAGATAGGTCTCACTATCTAGTCCAGGCTGTCCTCAAACTCACAGCAATTCTTCTGCCTCAGCCTCCCGAGAGCTGGGATTACAAGCCTGCACCATCCCACCTGGCACCTTTGTTCTGTCTGTCTTTTTGCGGTGCTGGGCCTGGAGCCCAGGGTCTCCTGCATGCTAGAAAGCGCCCTGCACATGAGCAATGCCCCAGCCCCACCGTCACATTTTCAAGCCTGTAGAGATTGCCTGACCGCATTTCCTTAGAAATTCTGACTCTGTTCTGTTTACTGATATCTAGGTTGTTTCTTTTAAAGTCCATAGTGAAGAAAATACTTCACGGACCAGTGTCACACATGACACTGAGCCAGATGGAGTCTTACCGGAAATGGAAAACTTACCTAAGACAAATCTCGTGAGAACAAGAGGCAAGAATTCCTTCGCGCCTAAAGACTTCGTGTTCCAGCCTCTGGAGGGTGTGAGGACCTATCAGGTGACGCCCATGACGCCCAGGAGCGCCGAGGCTTTCCTGACACCCAGCCTCCCCTGGGGCCTTCTCCAGCCGGAGGGGTGAGCACCCAGCCCGACAGAGCAGCCCACGCAGATACTAGAGCTGCAGATACGTTGTGGACACACGTAGAACCTTAGAACGAGGCCTGTGTTAAGAGGAGTGACGGGTGCCTCTCTTAGATTTGTTGTGAGCTTTTAGTTAGTGAAGTGTGTTGATTAGAAATCATGAAAATTTGTGCTTCTGCCCAGGATGTAGCTCAGTGGCACAGCACCTGCCTGGCAAGTGCAGCGTTCTGATTTTGGTTCCTGGCACAGACACACACACACACACACGCACGCACACACACAAACACACTCACACAGATTCATACTTCTAAGGAAAGTTCCTCTGAAGGCTCTGGTAACTTTTTTTGGCGGTTTCCATATTTCCTATCATTGCTGTTCTCATCATGCAATATGGGGCTTTTTGCTTTTCATTAGTGATTTAATATACCATTTAGAGAAGAAAATCACCGCCAGGTGTGGTGGCGCACACCTGTGATCCCAGCACTCAGGAAGCTGAGGCAGGAGGATCGTTGTAAGTTCGAGACCAGCCTGAGCTACAAAGTGCGTTCAAGGCCAGCCTGAACTGCATGGCGAGACCCTGCCTCAAAAAGACAAAAGAAAAGAAAACTGCCATAAGAGTAGCTCAGATTGGGCTATTTTGGGCTGAAAGTTCCTTTAGAAAATCGGCCTCTAACAGGAAAAATATAATTAAACTCGCCACATGTTGAAGCACAGGGCGGAATCTTTGAAAGATAGGGCAAGAGTGTTTTTGCAAGATTGGCTAGTGGCAAATACAGTGGGCCCGTGATTTAGGAACTCAGTGTGTTCCCTGGGGCAACGCAACTTGTAACTCAGGTTGTCAGCAGGAGGCACAGGCCGCCCTCAGTGCCCTTAGAGGGACCCTGGCCCGGGGTTTCTCAGTGAACCCCACACGGCAAAGGATGTGTCAGTGTCTGTTCCTTCCAGAGCTCTCTCATGGTTAAATCCGCATCTGAGACCATCTGGAAGCACAAGAGGCCAGCATTGGGTCATAGCTCAAGACGGGTCGTAAATCAAAATTAAAATTCCAGTCAGAACCTAAGTTGTCCTGTGTCAGGCGGATCGCAGCTCTCCTGTACGCTTGGACTCAACTCAAGACGTCCGAGTTGCAGTGTTCCACTGGGGGAGCTTCAGAGTCTTTGAGTCTTGCTACAGTACATTAATAAAGATGGGCATTCCAACTGCAGGCTTTTACATTTTCCCTTCCAGAATGAGCTTTTTTTTTTTTTTTTAAATAGAAACATGTCTTTTATCTCAGACTTTTAAAAAAGCAACAGAATTTTGAAACCCTGCAGTGGGATATATGGGCTTCATGGTTCACAAAATATATTTGTCATTGTTTTTAGTGATAAGATGCAAGAAATAGGAAACCGAATCTCGGCCCCAAAATGTGAGACTTTTACCAAGACTTTGCAGCAAGATTCAAGTAAATCCGTATGTCCCCTGGATTCCATAACAGTTTGCAAAGAAGGTACAGTATTTTAAAATTGTTGACGTTTCTGGATTTTGGTTTATCAGTGATTTGTTCAGAGCTCGTTTTCATCATACGTTAGGAGTTGAGGCCTTGGACTCACAAAGACAGAATGAAAAATACAGGCTAGACCAGCTGAGGCAGGAGGATTGAGGCAGGAGGATTGCAAGTTCAGGGCCAGCCATGGTTACTTACCAAGTTTGAGGCCAGCCTGAGCTACATAGTGAGATCCTATGCCAGAAAAAAATAAGTAAATAAACAAACTACGGAGTGAGAAGGCAGAGGAACTAAATGTAAATTTGAAAAGATAAAAGTTACCGACAATCACCTTGGAGTAGATGTGGTGAGTGAAATGACTGAGGCAGAAATCGAAACTTAAAAGCAGTTTTCCTCCCCACAGCCCACCCCTCGTCCTCCAGGGTGCAGCTCTTAACTTGCTCTGTCCTCTTACTTGGCCCAGGCTCACTCTGCAGAGCCAGTTTCTCCCTGACTCTTCACTTTCACTTTTTCAAATGAATTTTGTCACAGTCAGAAAAAAAAAATTTAACATCGAGAATATTTTTCTCTTGTCTTCTTTGGTTTTTTGTCTTCTTTTTTGAGACAGAGTTTCACTATGCAGTTCAGGCTGTCCTTCAACTCACTTTAGTAGCCCAGGCTGGCCTCAAACTTGCAATGATCCTCCTGCCTCAGCCTTCCGAGTGCTGGGATTACAGGTGTGCACCACCACACCTGGCCAACATTGAGAATATTGAAGTTTTTTTTTTTTAATTTCATTTTAGAGAGTAATGAATGAGAAAAAAAAACAATAGCAGCATACCAGCATCACAAACATAAACAAACCAAAGTAAGGACATTTACAGTGATACAGGGTTTCAAAACAAAATGATAGGAATTAACAGTGGTTATATTACATACTGTTATCTTCAACTACGTTGCTCAGATTACCAGATGTAAGAAGATTGTTCAAACCATTAAAGAGAATAGGAAAATAATTATTAGATAAAACATGAGAGAAAATAGAGTTTCAGTAGACAAGATGGTAGGAATTCACCATGGTAGTTCCATTGCATATTGTTGCCTTCAAATCAGTCACTCAGATTGCCAGATATAAGCATGCATGAAGAATTTTTTTAAAAAGGTCTTTTAGTGATGAATGTCATTTTAAGAATTGCTCTTTTAAAATTTATATGTAATGTTTTCTTTGTAGAACATGGTTTAAATCAAAATGAAGTTGCAACTAAAGATTCCAATGGCCTGTCCATAAACGAAGCCCTGCCACTCGAGACCTGCAAAGGTCAGATCCCTGAGCCACAGCACGATGTATTATATTTCAGGTTTGTCTATTCCCGGTCCAAGAATTTTATATTAATGTCTAGACATTTTAAGGCCAAGTTAAAATATTTAATTTTAGCTGAGCATGTTTGCACACACCTGTAATCCCAGCTGCTGAGGAGGCTGAGGCAAGAGGATTGCAAGCTCTTGGCCAGCCTGGGAAGGTTAATAAGATACTGCTTCCAAAACACAACAGAGGGGCTGTTCCTGTAGCTCAGTGGTAGAGCTTTTGCCTAGCATGCACAAGGCCCTGGGTTCAATCCCCGGAACCACAAAACAATAATAGTAGTACTAATATTTTATGTATAAACACTGAACACAGTAAGTTAATGGAGGAAAGCTAGGTGAATTTCACTTTTAGATTTTACTTTTCCAATAGCTAGTACATTCATGAGGTTCTTACTCTAAAGGTAAGAAAATATATAGGTCAAAAATTGCCCAGTGCTGACCCTTCCGCAGTCACTGGCGGAGGAATTTCACACATTCTCTGGCAGAGGAGTTTCACACACTCTCACTGCTGCCGCACAGGCTCCATTGTCCATGCTCCAGTGCTTTCTTATAGAAACTGGTTACACTTACCTCAGGCTCAGGGTTCTCTAGCATTACTGACATTTTAGATTGTGTACTGTTTGTGGGGATTTCATCCTGGACATAGGACATCTGGCATCTGGAGCTAGTAGTGACAATCCAGAATGTCTCTAGACAACAACTAAATATCCCTTGGAGCAAGATTGGCTCCAGTTGAGACCACTGGTTTTAGACGCGGAAAGCCTCGTGCTCAGGTTCTCTGAGTCCCGGCCACTTTAATCCCAGCCTTAAGAGCTGTTAACTTCACTAGCTCTCGGCAGCTGTGTGGGCCATGGCTCCGGGGACAGCATCGAAGGGTCTGACGCACACGTAGGATGAGGACTCTGCCCGGCCTCTGGAGCATGACAGATCACCCTAGAAATGCTAGCTTGGAAATGGACTCTTGGTGCCATTCGTTAAATAATGCCGCATCGACTCTGGGAAGGGAGTATTGTGCGCACCTCTTAGATCTTCCTGTATCGTGTATCATCGTGTCGTTGTGTTAACACTGGTTCTTGTCACACTGAAATGCGTGTCATAATTTTAGAAATATCCTCCAGTCAGAAACTGAGAAATTAACTTCGCACTGCCTAGACTGGGACCGGAAGCTTGAGTTGGACATTTCCGATGACGGTGAGAGAACTTTGTATTCGAGGATATCTTGGCTTTGTTTCTTTCAGTATGATTACACTCATCCGAAACATGAAATCTAGTCCTGTCCCAACTTTATAGTTTTGTTATTCAAAAGAGCAAGAATTTTTCGTTTCTCATAATTTTGTTCCCCACAATCCCTGTGCTAAAGAGGTGTAAGACTTTTATTATTAGACTATATGAGTATGGGTGACATCAATTTCTGGGATTATTTTATAGTACAAAAATCTTTTTTGAATAAAGGAAAATTACTACCTAAATATTTTCTAAAACATTCTTTCATCTTACTTGGCAAAGCTGCTTAGAAAAAAAATGTGTGCCACTATCAGTGTAAAGTTCTGCTTAGATGCTGTGTGCAGTGTGTTGTCTGAGGTTGGATTCCTTTTTTTTTTTTTGAATTCTTACAAAATGCACCATGTTGAGTGTTGCTCATGGGAGCGGACATCACGAGGCATTGAGGCTAAGTTAATGGTTGGCATCTGTATGACGAAGTTTGGCGGTAGTATTTTTGTTTTGCTTTAAAGATTTGATGCTGTAAGCCCTTGGGTATTTGAGATGAAGTCTTATCGTTGGTTGGCTCGCTGTAAAGGCCCTGTTCCATCTTCTACTTCTGAATCCCCCTTACCTCCTTCAGCTAAAGAGCTCATCCGCACAGCAGTTGGCCAGACTCGGCTCCTCATGAAGGAAAGATTCAAGCAGTTTGAAGGATTGGTGGATGACTGCGAATATAAGCGGGGCGAGAAGGAGACCACCTGCACGGACCTGGACGGGTTTTGGGATATGGTCAATTTTCAGGTGGGTGGCCAAGTATTTTGACTATATTAACTTGATTTTTTTTTTTTTTTTAATGGAATCATAGTAGTCGCTTAGGGACCTAGGGTAATAAACGAGCTATTACGTTTTATTAAGCTGCGCTGTCAAAATGTACTACTGATGCTCTTCCGCCTCGTGTTGTCAGGTTACTTTCTTTGCAGTTAGCATTGGGATTATGGCCAGCCCTCAGATAGTCTGCAGCAGTTCTACACAGCGAAATGAGCCAAGCTGGGCTTGAATTAGCAGTTGGTGAATACCTGTCCTGTGCCAGGCTTTGGATCAGGAGTTGGTAAAGGGCACTCTCTGTCCCAGAGAGGCTGTAATATGATGAGGAACTTAGAGACAGCATCATTCTCATCTTTGGTTTTGTTGTTTTTTTTGTTTTTTTTTTTATATGATGAGGAACTTAGAGACAGCATCATTCTCATCTTTGGTTTTGTTGTTTTTTTTGTTTTTTTTTTTGTTTTTTTTTGTTTTTTTGGTTTTTTGAGACAGGGTCTCGCTATGCAGTTCAGGCTGACTTTGAGCTCACTTTGTAGCCCAGGCTGGTCTCAAACTTGCAATGATCCTCCTGCCTCAGCCTCCTGAGTGCTGGGACTACAGGCGTGCACCACCATGCCTGGCTCATTGTTCTCATCTAAAGCACAAAATTGTACAATAGAGGAAATTATTAGTTAAAGGCATGGGGGTATTGCTTTCTAGCTTGTTGAACTTATTTTAAAAATGTGTATATAAAATAGCATTTTAAGAACTGATAGCCAACAACAGGCATTAGAAGGAGAGTGTTTTATTTCTTTTTTTTTTTTTTTTTTTTTTTGTCTTAGAGACAGGTCTCGCTAGGCAGTTCAGGCTGGCCTTGAGCTCACTTTGTAGCCCAGGCTGGTCTCAAACTCACAGCAATCCTCCTGCCTCAGCCTCCTGAGTGCTGGGCTTACAGGTGTGCACCCCCAACACCTGGCACTATTTCTGTCTCAGTTGATGCTAAGGATGGAACCCAGGGCCTTGTGCGTTTAAGCACGGACTGCACGCTGAGCTACCTCCCAGCTCACAAAGGGGGTTTTAGATCTGAAAGACAGAGACCAGAGCAGGCCTCAGGGAAACAGCTACTGGGATGAAGTCAGTGGGGTTATGTTAGGAAAGCAGAACCTTTAAAAGCAAATGATAAGATTCTCAGAGAGCCGGCCTTTCCTCAGTGACGCAGAAATGCTGAACCACAAAACTAGCCTGTGAGGTTAGAAAATAAGAGCAAAGTATAAGTTACAGAGTTGGACGATGATAGTATGGAACAGTCCCAGGAAGTAGAGCCAAGGGAGGTGTAAAATGGGGGAGGACAGATGAGCAAGTTAAGGGGCCCAGTCCCGGGAACGGCTTTTGGACCAAAAGAAAAGGGAAATGTAGCGGGAACCAAATGAGCAATGAAATAGTTTAAGATTCTTCTTCCAGAAGGGGAGGACCTGGGCCGGGGATGTAGCTCAGCGGCACAGCGCCTGCCTGGCGAGCGTGAGGCCCTGAGTTCCATTCCCAGTACCAAAAAAAGTGGGGGAGTGCTCGCTTCGGCAGCATATATACTAAAATTGGAACAAAAGGTGGGAGGAAGGGCCTAGGTTCTAGGTTGAGGGGACCACTGAGTTTCCGGCACAGGGGCCAGAGGGACCCAGGCCATCGCACATTGAAGTGTGTGCTCAAAGAGCTCTGGGGGAGCGGGAGGAGATCTGGGAGCTTCCGGAGAGAAACAGCTTCACACAGAGCGCCCGGAATCAGGGTACCTTGGGTGTCTCACTGGCGATCTGTTTTTGAGATAGGGTCTCACTGTGTAGTTCAGTAGTTCAGGTTGGCTTCAAACTCACCTCAGTCCTCCTGCCTCAGCCTCCCAGGTGCTGGGATCACAGGTGTGCACCACTGTGCTGGCTCACTGGGGGTGATTTAAAACCTGAAGGAACAATGCTCTGGAAAATCTGGGTGAGAGTCATTCCTAGCCTGGAGTTCTGTCCCCAGTTGAGTGTAAGGCTGAGAAGGCATTTTTCAGACCACATTTTCCCTGCTCTCCTCCCTCGCTTCTCAGGAAACTGCGGAAGTACCTCACAGATAAGGAGTGGACAAGAAGAGCAGAGGGTGAGCTGCAGCCCCAGAGAGGGACGGAGGAAGTGGCCAAAGTGTAGGAGGAATTTAAGATAACCTACAGGCGTGGTGGACAATCTACAGGCACGGTGGCATACCGCATTCCTGTAATCCCAGCATTTGGGAGGCTGAGGCAGGAGGATCACCACAGTTCAAGGCCAGCCTGGGGTACATAGCCAGACCTAAGCTACAGTGTAGCAAGCCTGAGAAGCAGTAGCTGGATTGGACCGGGAGGCTCAGGGCTCTGGGAAAATGAATGGATGAGGGGCTGGGGATTTAGCTCAGCGGCAAAGCACCTGCCTGGCAAGCTCAAGGTCATGAGTTCGGTTCCTGGTACCAGAGAAAAACCAAAAAAAAGGAAAATGAATGGATGGACACATGCATGAATGAATGAATGGAAAGCCCGATCAAGGTGTTTTTCATTGTACCAAGAGGAAGTTCTGGGTTTGTAGCATGATTTTAATCATCTTATCAGAAGTGTAAATGTTTTTCACTTTGGTGAAATTCAGTTCATGAGATTTGTCCTTTTATGTTGTGATTTTGACATGTCTAAGGACTCTTGCTTAACCACAAGTCAGAAGGATTTTCTTTTTTTGCTTGTTTGGTTGTTTTTGTTGTTATTTTGGGTTTTTTGAGATAGGGTGTCACTATGTAGTTCAGTCTGGCCTTGAACTCACTATGTAGCCCAGGCTGTCCTCAAACTCTTGACAATCCTCCTGCCTCAGCCTCCCAACAAAGATTTTCTTTGCTTTTTTCTTATACTTTTAGCTCTGTTCCAAGTAGGTGTACAGTCTAGTTGGTTAGTTTTTACACACGAGATTGCAAGGGTCTAACTGCACTCTTCTGCGTGTGGATATCCACTTTGCCAGCCCTGTGTGTTGAGGAGTACCCTTTCCTCCTCGAACCGAATTGGCGTCTTGGATGGAAATCACCTGTTGATAATTGCTGAGTCCTGGGTCATTCTGACCTTTCCGTGTTTTGAGAGAGGACATTTGAGAGGACGCGTGTACACATGCGCAGAGGGGGCGCTGTGTGCGTTTAGCGGGCTGTGGGCCGTGGACGCCCCCGGAAGGAGCCCAGCAGTTCCCGGATGGGACCCTGATTTCCGCCCTACTAGGACGCATGTTGCCTGAATCTTTTAAATGAGAAGCCACAGCCTGGGAGGAAAGTATTAGGACAAGACATCTCTGATGGACTTACGTAAAACGCAAAACTCTTCAACTCTGCACCCGGAAGATGGACGCGGGACTGGGGGTGCAGCCCCCAGGCAGACGGCGCCTGCCTGGCACGCAAGGGGCCCTGGATTCCAGCCCGATGGCTGCAAAGCAAAAAAAAAACAAATGAACAAGCAAATTAGCAAGCGAGCAGCGGAGCGGAACAGATGCCTCCCGGAAGAAAACAGTTGGCGCGTGTACCTATGGAGGGGGGCCGGCACCCCGCGTCCTGGGAGCCTCGGGTCGGCGGGGAGCCCTGGAGCGCCCGTGCGCGCCTGCGAGCATCGCGTGGACAACACCGAGGCTGGTGAAGAAGCCACCGACGTGGACTGCAGGACGGCTCCGTGATTGCTGCTGAGATCACAACGCGCGCGCATTTTGGAAGCCAGCCTGGCAGCGTCTTGCCAAACTGAACACTCTTAACATATGGTCCAGCAGTTACCGTCTGCACATTTACCCAAATGAGCGCGGAGCTTCTGTCCACTCCACACTTCATGTATTATTCACAATCTCCAAAACGTGCAAGCAGCCGAGACACCCTTCAGCAGGGAACTGGATGGATACCTTTTAGATGATTTCCATATTGTATAACTTAAGAAGCAAAAGATGCCTCTCCTGCCATTATAGTGGTCGAAAATGATCTTGGAGAGTTTTCACATATGTCATCCTTTATGCAGAGCTTGGAGGTTTGTAAGATCAAAAATAAGGACAGTTCTACAATTAAAATTCTTAATTCAAACACTAAAGATTCAGTAATTCACCATTTATGAGTTGCCATTCTCAAATTTTTTTTTTTTGAGCTTCACCTGTAATATGGTAGCACTAACCTGATAAACTTGGGCTTTATTTATTAACAGATAGAAGATGTAAATAAAAAATTCATCAATCTGATGAAACTTGAAGAATCTGGATGGCAAAACAGTAGCGCAAGCAGGAAAGTCTTACGAGTAAGTTGTGGGTTTTCTATCCGGATTTCTAATATAGACTCTTCTGATCGTTCCTTGCATTTTTAAGTTTAAAAACATTCAGCTTCTGAGCTCTCACTTTATAGAGTAGGTTTCCTGTATTACTTTCATATATTACGTAAGTGATTCACTTGCCTCTAGAGAAAGCGCAAGGAAGCAATGAGCACAAAGTGTGGGACGTTCATTGCTCAGGAGAAGGACATAAGGACTGATTGACTGGGTGCCCTTGATGTCCCCAGAGAGCGGGTTCCATTGGTGTTGGTTTTATTCTTTTAAACTGTGCTTGTGGATTTGGTTGTAACAATAATGCTAGTAGTTGAGTTGATAATGTATGTGACGTGCCAGGAGCTTTACCCACATTAACTCCTTTAATCTGACAGCAATGCTATAAAAGAGACACTGAAATCCAAAGACCTAGAGCCGTCAGGTCATTTGTCAAAGGTGGAGCTGGGCTTCGGGCCAGAATTTCCCATTCCAGAATCCATGGGATTTTTTTTGTTTGTTTGTTTGGGGGGTTTTTGTCTTTTTTGAGACAGGTTCTTAATATGCAGTTCAGGCTGGCCTTGAGCTCACTTCGTAGGCCAGGCTGGCCTCGAACTCACAGCAATCCTCCTGCCTCAGCCTCCCAAGTGGGGGGATTACAGGCATACGCCACCACGCCCGGCTCAGAATCTATGTTCTTGACTAGCAGACTATCTTGTGTACCTTTTTGTTTGATAGGTTTTATTTATTTTTTTCTGTCTTTTCCTGTTTGTTTGTTTGTGTATTTGAAACAGGGTCTTGCTGTGTAGTTCAGGCTGAACTCACTACATTTTCTATATCCCTTCATCTGTTGATATACAGGCTGCTTCCAAGATCTAACCATGATGAATTGTGCTGCTGTAACCTGGGTGTGCATGGCTCCCTGTAATAGGGGGTCCTTAAGTCCTTTGGGAAGATATGTAGATTTGAACTCAAGTGGCAATCCTCCTGCCTTGGCCTCTCAAGTGCTGGGATTACAGGCGTGCTCTGCCACACCTGGTTTATTTTCAGCTTTCATTATTTAGTGGTCTGCGTTTGCGGTATGTAGCGGTTACCTCTGTTGTGTGGAGTTGGTACATGTACAAAACACATCTCAGTTCTTTTTTCATCCCCATTTCCTCCCCTCCTTTTTTTTTTTTTTTTTTTTTTTGTCTTTTTGAGACAGGGTCTCGCTATGCAGTTCAGGCTGGCCTGGAGCTCACTTTGTAACCCAGGCTGGTCTCGAACTTGCAACGATCCTCCTGCCTCAGCTTCCCAGGTGCTGGGATGACAGGCGTGCACCACCACACCCGGCTCCTCCCCTCCTTTCATCTCTTGATCTTTTTCCATTTGAAAAAGATCTCCCAGGCCCTATTGGCTTTTTATTCTGTGTTTCTCATATAAGAAAAGCGGTCTGATACTGAAGCTTGTGAGTCGGCTTCATTTCACTTATCATTATGGCCTCCAGGTGCACCCATCTTCCTACAGATGACTGACATTTATCCTTCTTCATGGGACAGTAGTGCTCCTTGGTGTGTAAATACCGTGTTTTTCTATATCCCTTCATCTGTGGATGGACACGCAGGCTGCTTCCAAGATCTAACCATGATGAACTGTGCTCCTGTAAACTGAGCGTGCATGGCTTCCTGTAATAGGACGTCCTTAACTCCTTCAGGAAGATACCTAGCGGGAGAACGGCTGGGTAAACTGGAACCTCTAGTTTGAGTTTTTTGAGGCGTCTCTGTACTGATGTCCGTAGTGGTTACACCAGTATACAATCCCGTCAGCCAAGTAAAAAGGCTCTTTTTCCGCCGCCTCGCCAGCATTTATTTGATATCTTGGTAGGCACAAGTTTGTTTTTTTTGGTACTGGGAATCGAACTCAGGACCTTGCACTTGCCAGGCAGGCGCTTGCACCACTAAGCTATATCCCTGGCCCTATTTGATTTAAAATGAAATCCCACTCCTGTTTTAATTTGCATTTGTAATGACCAGTGATGCTGAGCAATTTTTCATGCATTTATTGGCCATGTGTGCTTCTGAGAAGTGCAGAAAAAAAGAATCCTGATAATGTAGCTCTATGCAAAGGCCCTGGGTTCAATCCCGTCACCTCCCCGATGTGATAATAACAGTGTTCCTTATTGATGAGGTCTCATGACAGGGACACTGAAGGCGGTGACTAATTCTCTAAGACAGAGAATTTCAAATATTTGTTTTGTTTTTCTCCTGGTACCAGGAATCGAACTCATGACCTTGCGCTTGCCAGGCAGGCGCTTAGCCCCTGAGCTAAATCCCCAGCCCCGAGAATTTCAAATCTTAATAGTGAAGAATGTTCTGTTTTGTTTTGTTTTTGTTTTTTGGTTTTTCTCTGGTACCAGGAACCGAACTCACGACTTTGCGCTTGCCAGGCAGGCGCTTTTGCCGCTGAGCTAAATCCCCAGCCCCAATGTTCTGTTCTGTATTGAGGAATGAAATCATCTGGCCCGGGCACAACGACTATTATCTGGTGAGAGTCTTGCAGTTTTGCCTGTTACCGGCAGATGGCACTCTCCTACTGTATTTTATAGGCTGCCGTTTGTGAGTTTGATTTTGGGTTTGCTTTTTTTTTTTTTTCTTTTTTGCTTTATGTCTGTTACTTTTCTCCTCGCTGAGACAAAATGCCTGACGCCCAAAGTTAAGGGAGGAAAGGTTTGTTTAGCTCACAGTTTGTAGAGCTCTCAGTACGTAATCAGATGGCTCCGAGGCAGGCTGGCACATGGCAGAGAAGCAACCCGTTCATGGCGGTAGAAGACAGCAAAAGCAGCAGGGGAGAGTGAGACAAGCCTCTTTCTGTCCCTTATACTATAGGGGACTAGGGCAGTGCCAGTCCAATCAGTGGACTGACCCAGCAGTCACCCGCCCTTAATCCAGCACTGCACTGTGAGTCAATCACACTGTGGATTCAGCCGCCTCTGAAAACACCTGGTGACCTCTTGAGGCTTTGGGGGGACGTCTAGACACGAACCTAACAGCTTGGTTGGGGGGTCGTTTCTTTGAGGGGGTGGGGCCTACACCGGGGCTCACCCTGCCTGACGAGTCTGCACTGCACCCTCCCGTTAGGCTGCCGTGAAGCTTAGCAACCAGTCGGTCGAGCTGACCTGCTCCGCGGCCCGTGGTGCCTGTCCTCCTGTCCTTAGCGTTGCTGTGTCTGCGGCCCCTGTCCCTCCGCTCGTGGATGTGTCTAACCGTCTTCCCCTCGTTCACAACGAACCTGCCGGTGGCCGGGCCTGAGCCGTCTCCTGCCACCTGCGCCTCCACCCCCTCCTCTTCCTCTCCTCCCCCAGCCTCAGGCAGCTTTCTGACTGACTGACTGACTGACTGACTGACTGACGGTCATCTGCAGCTTCACTGTCCACCCCGCTCCACGTCCTAGCCCCCTTTCCCCATCTGCCCGCGGCACAGCCGCTCCCGGGGTGACTCATCGCCAGCCAGGAGGCCCCGGCCTCGGTTTCCGGACCCGCCCCTGCGTGGTGTTAAGTGCGGCGGGTTCCTCCAGTCTCGTGTTTTGACCTCCGGCCTCACGCTGGGCTGGGTGAGCTGTCTGCCACAGAGCCGCCCCCACCCCTGGCCCCTCCTGTGCAGCTTTTAACCCACTTTCTGATGATTGTCAGGTCTGCCTTTCAGACCACACTTCACCGCCTTAGCCATCCTGTGTCCTGACTCAGTGTACCTGAAAAATCGGCATGTCCCAAATAAGTCATTTCCGCACAGCCCAGGGCTTCCCTGTCCCAAAGCTGTCACCAGCCTGTATTCACAGAAGGGAATGCGTGTCTCCTTTTCCTCCTCCACCGTCTCCGCCTACACATGCACACACACACACACACACACACACACACACACACCAGCTGTGTGCCGCCCCCTCTCCCTGGCGGCCTCAGGCCGTGGCCTTCCCGGCACTCTGCACACTGTCGCCAGGCAGCGTCCTGCAGCGTAGACCCTGATGCTGTTCCTCTCCTGCTAAGAAGCCCGACCCTTCACCCCGCGTGCTCTGTGCAAGCGCAGCCTTGGCGCCTGGGACGGAGCGGAGGGCTGTCCTCGGGCTGCTGCCAGGTCGCCGCTGCCTGCGCCCCGCTCTCCTGCAGGCTCTGCGGCCTCTGCAGCCTTCGTTGCTTCACTCTGACGCCTTCACCAGCCACTGCGTCCGGAGCGCCTCTCTCAGCCCGGCCTGCCCTCCGGCCTTGTCTGCGCTCGCCCCAGTGAGCACCGGGTGCCTGGAGACGGGGACTTTGTCCTTCACCTTGCTCCCCAGATCCCAGCACTCAGGAGGCTGAAGCAGGAGGATCCCTGGGAGTTTGAGGCCAGCCTGAGCTGCATAGCGAGAACCTGTCTCAAAAAAAGCAAAAAACCCAAAAGACAATATATGGTGAATTTGTGATATATTTTTAGATAGCACATGACAGAATTAGAACATTTTCCTAAGATGGTAGCAGGCAGCCCTGGTTCATATCAAGACCTCTCGTTACAGAAGAAACCTGTCCCCGGCGCGGCCAGCAAAGCGACAGCGACCTCAGCAGCAGACGACCCCGCGCGGGCAGCTGCCAGAAGCCGCCTGGCCGCGGTCAAGAGTGCCATGCGTGAGCGGGTGAGGCGGGCCGGGGACGCCGACAGCGTCGTGTTCGACGGCGGCTTCTTCCGGGTCGAGAGCCCCGCCAAGTCCTGCTCGGGTCAGTGCGCGGGGCTGGGGGCCCGGGCAGCAGGCGGGTGGGCGCTCACGGGAGGGGCGACGCGCTCAGTGGTCGGCAGGTGGGCTGGCAGCCCGGGGCTGCCGCCGCTGTGCCCGAGGCCCCGCTGTCCTGTCCAAGGTTGGGTCTCGGCCCAGGGATGAGAACCGGTGGAGGCGGGGTGAGTGCTGAGAGGGGAAGAGTGGGCATCCAGCGTGGCATCCTCAGCGGGGCTGGGTTTCGTGGTCGGCGGAGTTAAAACTTGCTCACATGTGTTTGAGCCAGGGAGATAGCTCAGCAGCACAAACGCCTGGCAAGAGCAAGGTCCTGAGTTCGATTCCTGGTACAAAAAAAAAAAAGAATCATGCACCATCAAATGTGTTTGAAAGGCAAAAAGTGAACTAACTTCCCAATTTTAAAATATTCTGGTCAAACTAGTTGAGGGGGTTGTTTGGTTTTGTTTCCTTGTTTTTGAGACAGGTCTCACTCTGTAGTTCAGGCTGGTCTTGAACTCTCAATGCAGTCCAGGATGGCCTCAAGCTTGGCGATCCTCCTGCCTCAGCCTCCCAAGTGCTGAGGTTATAGGCATGCGCCACCACATCCATCAGAACTAGTTTTTAATACTTTAGAAAACCAATCTTAAGATTTTCTGTTTTTTAGAAACTATTTTTCGACTTTTTCATTAGAAATGTCTTGCTCTTGATTGGTATTACTTATGTGTGAGCCCCAGGTGTCCACTAGGAGGCCTGTGTCCACTGGGACACCTTCTGCAAGTGGATTCCAGCCTCCGTCTCTCATCCCCGCCCTCCTCGGGCCCCTCTGGAGCCTGACCCCCTTGTCCGTTTGGAATTAGAGCTGGTATGGGTTTTGTTTGTTGGTTCTGTTTTTCTTACTTGAAGCTGCTAGGCTGGTGAGAACCCAGGAGCCTCCGTCAGCGCCCCTGTCATGACCCAGCTGCTTCCTGTGCCAGGGTTAGGGCTGCCGCACCGCATCCTCCCTGGGCCGCCGCCGTCCTCACAGACGGGGAGGTGTGTGCAGAAACTGACCTTTTGAAATGGACGTTCCGTTATAAAGTGCGGAGTGGCACGCACTGGTCCAGACGCAGTAGATCCCAGAGGCCTCTCACCCGCCAGGGCGTCCACACTAACTGAGCCTTGACTGCTTTGCCCCTGCTCTCTAAGCGAGGTTTGATCTTCGTCTTTCTGGAAACTTTTTTCTTTCTCAGATACTAATCTTTTTTCCCTGTGTGTACTGTGTTCTCTGCCCTGGGAGATTTCCTCAGCGTTCCTGCTGGCTGTCGTGCTTTGGTCTTTCTCATTCCCAGTGTTGCCTTTTCCAGGTTCTGCCTGCGTTTCCTAAGCTTGGCCGTACCTTTCTGTGCAGTGGGTGCTGCTGCTTTTCCCAGTGTAGTTCGTTTCTGCTTCCTGTCTCTTGGTTTCTGTCCCTGTGTTAGAAACTTCCCTTGGATTTAAGGTGGAACACTAGGCCCCTTTCTGTGGGCCGAGGTAGCTGGCTGTCACCCTGGGAACCTGCACATGAAAGGCTACTCAGGTTCCCCGCGGAAGATTATTCTCATTTGCGGCCTACAGAGTATTGAAAAACTGGTGTGTGTTTACACCGGTAAGAGTGCACTAGAGTAAAGGCACATTGGTATGAATCCCCCTCAAAATATTTCCCTCGTACTGAGAGCACACTTACCCCATCATCCCTGCCGCTGTCTGAAGCAGTTCTGCAGGTCCTCTGCCGCGAGTGTCTCTCCTTGCTGTGTTGTGGCTTTAGTTGCACTGGCGTGGCTGATGTCCCCAAGGGTCATTCTGACTTTGGGTCGGAGCCGGAAGTCTCACGGTGCCGGGTCTGGCGAGCAGCACGGATGAGGGCACCCTGCCAGGTCTTGCCAAGCCTGCCTTTCCGCTGGGTGGCGGCGTTTAGAGTATTTTCCATCACGCTGTGTAAAGGTAGTTGAGAAAGAGAACCTGTAAAAGTGCTGCAGAAAGCGGCAAGGACGGTGGGATGCGTGTTTGTGAAGTGGTGATTAATGGCAGTGTGTTTCTTACTATAACCAATTTTTTATTTTTATTTGTCTTTTTGAGACAGGATCTCACTATGCAGTTCAGGCCGGCCTTGAGCTCACTTTGCAGCCCAGCCTGGTCTCGAACTTGCAACAGTCCTCCTGCCTCAGCCTCCCAAATGCTGGGATTACAGGCGTGCGCCACCACACCCAGCTTGTAATCAGTTTTTTAATGTAAACATGAACTATACTTTTTCGTACCCCTTTGTATTGTGGCTGCCGAGAACTCGGGAGCCGTGCAGCGGGGAGGAGGTTGAGCATCTCCGCAGTTCAGCTGTAAATTTTCGCTTATTCTTCACGTCTCCCACGTGGCATCTCCCCACTCTGTCCCGTGTCCCCTCAGCCGGAGACCTTCTGTTTCTCCCTTTGCTGGAAACAAACCTCTAGTCTTCAGAGGGGGAGAGAGATGGACGTTGACAGTTGGTCCACAGCAACTCTTCTCTCCGGATTGGTGGCGTGGTACTCGCTGGCTGGGGTCTGCTGAGTAACATTCGAAATGAGCAGGTCCGCGCGTGTCGTAGCTTCTGGAACGCTCTTCGCACTGGTATTGTGCGTGGTCCGTTTCCGCCGTCCTTGGAGACCTCAGCCCCTAGAGGCTGTTTCTGGTACTGCGCAGCGGCGGTGTCAGGAAACCGGGCCTGATGGGGGCGCTGTGGGGCGGATGGTTCTGACAGACACCAGTGGGGTCTAGCAGGGCTTGCACCATCTTCCTGGCAGCAGAGGGAAGAGGACGAGGGGACTTTTTGGTGCTGGGCTGACTTCTCTTGTCTTCCAGTGCTTTCCTGTGACGGGACGCCGAAATCGGTCACCAGAGCGGGGCCCAAGAGCAGGGCTGAGGTGGGCCGTCAGGGACAGATGCCGCCGCCGGAGAAGCCCAGCCCTCGGAGCACGTGCAGTGGACATGGTGATAAGACGACTTTGTCTTCAAATATCCCTGAGAGCAGGTTATTTCTCTAACGTGTCCTTACCTGTAACACAGGGGCGTATGAAGTATCTTGCAAAGGGGCTGGGGATTTAGCTCAGCAGCACAGCCCCTGCCTGGCAAGCGTGAGGTCATGAGTTCGATTCCTGGTACTGGGAAAAAAAAAAAAAAAACTTGCAGGTTAAGCTGGTGCAGTGTGCAGACATATTTTTAATTACATTTCGCAGAGAAGTGTCATTAGAAACCTTTCTCTTCCTCAGCGAGGAAGCTGAGGCCTGACCTCTCAGGTGGCAGCAGCGGTGCCGTGGTCCTGTAGGCCCAGCGGCCGAGGAGGCTGAGGCAAGAGCACTGTTCGAGCTGCCAAGTTCGAGACCAGCCTGGGCAGCCTAGCAAGAGACCCCCACAAAAAATAAGGTTCCCGAGCGGGGTGGGGACTCCAGCTCAGTGCCCGGCGAGAAACGGGCCCATGAGCTCACAGCCCTGTTCTCTGATGATCCCCGCCCCAGGTTTGTAGGCGCCTTTGGAAGAAGCAGCTGGTCCTGGGTGTCGTCTCAGCAACCCGTGGGGTGCTGCGGCCCCCATTTCCAAGTCGGAAGTTTTGAAATTTGTTTAACTCCCTGAAATTCAGCTTGAACGTGGTGAAGCTGGGTGCCGCCCGCATTCTTTCTGCAGGGAGGGACACTCGCACCCAGGAGATGCCACGAGGAAGTGCTAATGCACAGGGCCGAGAGCGCCCCGAGCTGCTGACGGAGCGGGAGCTGGGTCCGCTCCGAGACCGGGCATTCGCAGCGCCTGATGACAGAGGGCGCGGTTGGGCAGCGTCGATGAGAGCGTGGTACTCAACACAAAGCGCTCGCGCGCTCGGCCTGAACCCTGCTGCTGTACACCCAGCGCAGTCAGCCTTGAGAGTACTTTGGGTGTGGAACCTGTGAGTCATAAACACTAATTTAGCCGGGCGTGGTGGCGCACATCTGTAATCCCAGCACTTGGGAGGCTGAGGCAAGAGGATGAGGTTGAAGCAAGAGGATCGTTGCGAGTTCGAGGCCAGCTTGGGCTGCAAAGTGAGCTCAAGGCCAGCCTGAGTTGCCTCAAGACCCTGTCTCAAAAAGACAAAAAAAAAAAATGAAATAAAACACCAATTTATTACATTTCTCAGGCGCCAGCTACTCCATTGCAGTATGGGTCCTTCCTATACGCTCTTGCTCTAGGAAGATCCAGAACTGCATCCGGTCCTATTACAAATGTGTTCTCAAATGTTTACTGATTGCCCCAAAGCACGCTGCACACGAGCAGCTGCCCTCGGGTAAGGGACAGTGAAGCCAGGAACAGGAGGACGGAGTAGAGTTCTGAAGAAATGACCTCGGAGTGGCTGGAGCGTTTCTTAAGAAAAGGCGGATTTAAGGACCTCACTACAGAACATACTATTTGTGTGTGTGTGTGTGTTTTGTCTCTTTGAGACAGGGTCTCGCTATGCAGTTCAGGCTGGCCTTGCGCTTACTCTGTAGCCCAGGCTGGCCCCAAACTCACAGTGATCCTCCTGCCTCAGCCTCCCGAGTGCTGAGATTACAGGCATGCGCCACCATGCCCGGCTGAACGTACTGTATTTCAAGGGACAAGTGGTGCAGCCAGTGCTGACTTCCTCACATGGGCCTGGGCCCTTCCTCCGTCGGGTTCAGGTTCCATCTTTAACCCATTCTCTTTTGTTTTTTTTTGTTTTGCTTTGTTTTGTTGGTACCAGGAATCAAGCTCAGGTCCTTGCGCTTGCCAGGCAGGTGCTTACGCCACTGAGCTGCATCCCCGGCCCCATTAACCCATTCTACACTCGGCCCTCCATGAAGGGCAGACTCGGAACACAGGCGAGAGACAGCCGCAGTATCCTAAGTAGAATGCTCTTTTGTTTCTCAGGAACAGTGCCGTTGGAGGTGCTCAGTGTCCCAGATTAGAAGATTCAATGGAGGTGAACCAGGTGAGTCCTGGCCACGCGGCAGAGGCCCGGGGCATGGTCTGCTCATCTTGTCACCCGCAGCAGCTCCAGGACACTAGCCAGGGGCAGGGCCGGAAATCCGCATCACGCAGGGTCGTTCTTCAGTGCTTTGTGCGTCCCTCAGCTCACGTCACATGACGGAACTAGAGAGCTAGAGCCGCAAACTCTGGCCGCTTTGTGCAAACCAGGCTTGTGGCGACGGTCACACTCGTTTGTCTGACAGTTGAGTGAGCAGCACCGACTGCGAGGATCGCCAGCTCTGCAACAGTCACTGTCACGTTACCTGAGGTCACTGCCAGAAGCAAGGCTGTGGGGTTTATAGGGCGATGGTCTTCGGCTGTGATCAGAATGTCAAAAGTGAAAGTTTTTTTTAAACATTTTATAGCACCAAGACTTCGTTTCAGTTTTTTGTAACTAAATGTAATGGCCATTTTTACTTCCAGGATGTAAATACGTCAAACCTGGAGACGGGGGACTTCCCCACCGAAACCGCGGGCTCGCATCACGCCAGTGGAGCAGCAGAGGAGATGAGAACCTGCAGGGAGCAGAGTCCGGGGGTCGTGGAAAGAAGGGAGCTGAATTCTTCACCGACCGCACAGGATGTGCTGATGAGCAGTCCTGAGCACAGCTCCCCACCGCAGAGGAGCGGCTTGCCAGAAGCAGCCGCTAAAACCTCTCGGTCAGGTAAGAGCTTTTCACGTACAGTAAGGCGCTGTTTAAAAATGAACTTGGAGCCAGGCGTGGTGGCACACGCCTGTAATCCCAGCCCTCCGGAGGCTGAAGCAGGAGGATCGCTGTGAGTTTGGGGCCAGCCTGGGCTAGAGTGAGCTCAAGGCCAGCCTGAGCTGCATAGTGAGACCCTGTCTCAAAAAGACAAAAAAAAAAGAGCTTGGATTAAGGTGTAGAGCATCATAAATAATTCTGAGTGCCGGTTCCTAAAGATGAAAGTTGAAAAATTGACACTCACAATAAATGCCTAATAAAACAGTTTATGTTGTCATGTCCTGCTTGTCCCGGAGCCCTCAGGGAGACGCCATAAAAACCGGCCACAAACACCAAGCCACACAGGGCCCGGGGACGTCGCCCTTTAGACCCGTGTGGGGTAGCTGGGAGGACGGAAGTCTTCCCTCCGGTTTCCAGTTTTCTTTCACACATAGCACACCGCCACCTCAGGCACCCTGGTTATCTCCCCAGCGCTGCACGGGTCTCACAGGCCGTGGTGGCGCACACCTGCCGTCCCTCACTGGGCCTCCACAAGGCCGTGTCCCGCAAACAGCTCCAGAACTAGCGGGGCCCGCCCCTGCGGTCGTGAGAGAACGTGTGCCATCTGCGTACCCCCGCGGTACGGGTCTCACCGGACATTCCGTCCTCCCCCTGTCAGACTGGGGACTTTTAATGGTTTCAGCATGAAATTTTGTAGAAAACGCTATGCTGAAGGTAAGGATAAGAATTTTACTGAAAAATTTACATTTAAAGTATATATATATACGGGGCTGGGGATTTAGCTCAGTGGCACAGCACCTGCCTGGCAAGCACAAGGTCATGACTTTGATTTCTGGTACCGGAAAACAAACAAGCAAAAAAAATATATATATATATATGCACACACACACACACACACACACACACACACACACACACACATATACACATATA